AGCACGGGCTGATTAATATGAACTAGGTAAATGAGCAGTATCAGCATACACTTCTACTCTGTGTTAAATGAACATGGATTGGAGATTGATGTGATGGCTATAACAGTCAGTGAAATATCAACCCAACCCTCCAAGAACGTTTGCTGTGAGAAATTATTGTAAAATCAATGTTGACAGATAATAGAAGAAATTATATGTTCCCATTTTTGGCAAATAACTCATTATGAAACTTGTGTTTCAGCTTTAAAAACTTTCAAATATTTCAGTCAAAAACAAATACAAGCATAAAATGCTACAGTGCACTTTCGTACTAGCACCATGGATGCCACATAGATAAAAATAGATATGCAAATTAAGAGCTTATTACTATAAGAAATATTACAGTTAAATCATATGAATTAACCAGAGTGAGCAATCCTAAAGTTCCACTGTGATGGAAGTGGTTCTGGTTATCTGGTCTACAAATATTCTTGATACATTTACAGTATGACAACAATTTAATAGTCAAAAACTCACAAGTCTTCTTGCTTACGAGGAAGCATATCCAGAAACCAAAGCTACTATTATTAACAACACATTAAAAACATTTGTTTCTAAGTATGAAGAAATAATTCCTGAACAAGACTTAGTGACACTGAGGTTTTAGAATACACCTGTTCAAAAATAAGGTGGTAGTTATTAAAATCCAGCTTTTTGAAAATCAATCTGTAGTCACAATAAATGATCCACGTGTGCAAGACATTTCACTTAAAGAGTAAGCTGAATATGAAGTTAATCTGATGTTAGTAAGGAGATATGTGTAGTACTTATAGTTGCTCTTTTCCCTGGAATAGGACCACAAAACAAGTTTTCACACTGCAGATCATTCAAGTATAGGAAACATCAAATTGTATTGCAAAATCCAAACCCAGAACTTTAAATGCAAAAGACTTCATATAGCATTTCTGATGAGGCACTGTTAGAAAAATTGAATCATACGCATCGCTTGTGTCAGTTTGATGGAATTCCACCTGGTAATGATGCTTTTCAAACACACAAACCAACATAATGCATCTGGGAACAGCAACACATCTATTTGGAAGTTTAGGTTTGACACTTTCCAACAGGCTGGGCTTTGGTGCATGGCAAGAAAAGAGTGTCATTTCACCAAAAGTGGGATGGATATTATTGGCATTGGTATGTACAAAAAGCAGCATGAAATGATAAGAAACAGGGATGGAAGTAGCTTGTCTGAATGCAAGCCAAAGAATGGGGAATGTCACTATAATTCAGAGTTGGCATTCCAGCCAAGTTAAGACAGTGAGGTATATATAAAAAGAACTGTATGTGATATTTACAAGTTTTGGTGGTCTGATCAGTGGGGTCTATCATCTCCAGATTACATCTTAGACTTATAGAACTGCTCTAAATCGTGTACATAGAACCTCAGTCAGATAGAATTCAGGGTAGATGAGGGAAGAGAATGCACAAAATGTTAACAGTAGCAGCAGCCGGACTGAAAACCAGATGGCAAATAAGGTAGCATGATAGCCTTATACAAAAGTCGAAGAGAACCTGACAACTCAGAGTACACCCAGTAGAAAGAACTGAGATGGTGAGAGCTAAAAAAGAAAAAAAAAGTCCACTCTAAAAATTCTGCTCACAGTTTGCAAATTTTTTATTTTGTATAGTGTTTAGTATAGCAACCCAGCTACATATAAAAACATATTTTTGTTGCATTCAGAGTAATTCTCCAATGAAAAAAATCCTCCCTCCCTGCATGATTACATTCTAAAATCATTGGAAACATACTTGGAATCGGTATTAATAGTAAGAAGAAGAAAGACTGATGCAATTCAATCCTAAATCATCTTCAGATTCCCTCATTCCTTCTTTCACTGTTTACACACGTGGCTTCATACCCAAAATCTTTCCATTTTCTGATCACCACCAGGCAATACAAGCAGCAAACATACCAAATCAGATGTACTCTTTTAGGAACTGCTCAGAAGCTTTATAGACAGAAATAGCAATCCTTCTTACAGTGTCTACTGTGCAAAAGGGTTCAGCATCCCTAGAAAAATACAAGTCACTGAAGAAATGGATGCACCCCTCTCTCCCCTTTCCTCTCTTTTTTTTTTTTATCCTATTCCCTTTTTTTCCTGTAATTTAATTTCAGGATAAATTAAAACTAGCTGTAGCAAAATCTTGCAAATGATAATGCCTATGAAAATGTGTTCATTGCCAAACTCCAAGAAGTATTCTTCCCTTTCTCTAATTTCACCTTCCAAATAAAGAGTTTGCTTTTAGTTTATGTGACTATCCATCTTTTTCTGCAAGAAGACAATCGCATCAGGCATGTCAGTTCAGAGAAAGATGGTTTGTAGAAAATAAAAGGACCAGTTATTTTACAAATAACAAGAGCACTCAGTGCATAAGCTAGTGGTAACGAAAGCTCCTAATTCAGGACACACTGAGTCCTTCAGGAAACAAAAAGTAATTTCCGCAACGTGTGATAGGCTAGCTTCATTTGGAAGGGTAAAACGGAGAGTTTACTCTCACTTTCCTTGAAAGCAACAGACTGTGGTCCAGCAGAGATGTAAATGTAGGTCACACTGGGCCTTGCCTCTTGATTTTCAAATGCCTTTGTGAATGGAATCTTAAATACGAAAGTCTAAGTAAACAAAAATGCACACCCGATGATTGTGTCTTTTCCAGTGCAGAATTCTACAATAAGCCATAAAACTAATTAACTGCTTCCAAGATCTGATTTGTGTGTGTGCATCCTTGGATTTTTGAAGGCAAATACAGAGGATTTCATCAAAAAGAGGATTGTTTTTATTATTCTGAATTCTAAAGAGACTAACAATATTTGCAGTACAGCTACACAGTTCAGCAACAGAGAGAATTTCAGAACAGAGATGCATATCAAGGGCTCACAAACTTTTAGGTTTCCACTGGCTCTGCACAAAGTACTTCAGAGTGGTACCAAACACAGGGCTAAGGGCCACCACTGCCCATGGCAGGCCCCTGCCACATCTTCTGAGGCTGATCACAGAAGCAGTGCCACTGCAGTGCTTGAGAGTGGGAATACTGGTGTACAGCACCCAGAATAGTAGAGATGGTAACTGGAAGGTTATAACATCTGAATCAAAGATTCAGCACACTTTAAAAACGGAAAATGTTTCCCCTGAAATCAGATGCCTACAAAGTGAGTACGGCCAAGCATTTTCCTAACGGCATAAAGCCATATTTGAATGACCTGATGGAAGCCTAATGCAGTGAAAAGCTTGAGGATATAGTCTGAATTATTTCTAGTTTCGCAAGTCTAGCAAAAACAACTAAATGAAAACTCATTGCATTTTTTTGTTAAGAGAACAATGTAACACCATCCATCCTTTATAGTCTCCAATAAAAGGGATTACAAATTATAAACGCAGTCCTGGTTCTTCATAACTCAGTGGCAAATATGCCACTGACTTCAGCAAAGTAAAGCACCTTGAAAATTTCAGTTTGGATTGTTTAGTGACATTAAGAGAGTTCTGCAGCTGAATGCCTCACTGATTTGCTACGAAGTCTGGAGCCAGTATTGTCAAATACAAGGTAAGTTAAGGAATTTCCTGGCAAAACTATGCAAGGTTTAATTTGAAGGAAAACTGTCCAGATTCACAGACCCAAAAAAGAACCTAAGCTAAAAATAATATTAACAAAATTTCTTTGTCTTGGAAAGTTCAGCTCAACAATTCCAAAACAAGGGTTGCACGATAGGTAAAATCCTAGCCTCTCAGCAGGGTGATCCAGCAATAACAAATGCCAGGAAAGCAGTATGCTACTGTATTTCACTTCTCTCAGTGTACTCAAGTACAGGTCAGCATCAGAAGGGAACTGTTAAAATGTGCATGCACTCACAAAGCAAAATAAAACTCATGAGTTTCATTTAAGCCAAATTAGCTTTAAACTTTGTCTCTTTTTTTCTTTCTGTGTCATATTCAATAGTGTCATAGAATGCAACTTCACTAACACAAACTGACCTTCCCATTTTCTTAAAGGTGGTGGTGGTGTAGCCTAAGTGCCTCACAGCTGGAAATTTAAAGGTGAAATCACCCAACAGGCCTATTTACTGATTGTCATTGTTAGTTATTGAAGCAGATGTTTAGCGTGATGGGAGGTTTCAGTGACCCAAAGGATAGACCCCAGAACCAACTTCTGAGGCAGAAGTGTGAGAAAGAAGGTCATAATTCTTTTTAACTTTTGCAGAGAAAGCACCTATTGAAAGGCTTCTGCATTTGTCCCTATCAGGCATAAGAAAGACTGGTTCTGTGCAAGTTTGACTTCATCTTCCATCTTTACTGATGGAACTGACGTTGCTCTGTGTAATTTGAGAGCTTTTACAGTTCTTGGCACACAACAGAACTTTCCATATTAAAGTTTTTACTTCCACTTTCACCAGTGAAAACATACTTTCACTTTGGTGAGAACAGACCTTAAAGCTTCTTACTTTATTGTATTTAAAAAAAAAAAAGAAAAAAGAAAAAGCCGTTGGCAAGACCAAAATGCTAGAGTACGCCATCTAAATCTACTTCACTAAAACATTCTACTTAATTCCCGCGGGGAGCGGTCATAGGTGAATATTAACACGTATCTCTTACTAATTTGCCTTCAACAAGGTTTAATCTTCAAGCCTGACAGACTGTCCATTGTGAACCAGACGGTTACCACAGCAATACTTAGAATATGAGTGGTCTTTGACTCTGCCAGGGTCATTACAGAGCCAGTCTGAAGCTTCACCGACATTCTGTTTAGAAAGGCAATCCCATCCAAACAGCTTTAGCATCATGCTATGCCATAACCACTTCAGCCTTTCAAGAAACAGAGACAGATTTGCCAGCAGTCCTGTGATATGAAAGTAGTTTAGATAGTTATGGTATTACTGTTATCACGCTACTGAAATGTTTTACGTTATATGGACATCACTGTCGTATGTGATGATTTGTATTATATCATAGCTATACTTCACTTACCACGTTGCTGCATGTCCTGTATCGGATGTTTCGCCCTTCACAGGTCCTGTGTCCAAAAATTAAAAACAAAACCAAAAGCATTAATAGCTGAATACAAAAATCAAATATATAACGTTTACCGTATCAATATTTTTCTCCCAAGATCGCTGAGTGCTCAGTCCCCCTCTGGCCTTTTCTCCCAAAGCAAAAGATTCTCTGTCCACATATGAAAATTGAGGTATGGATTCCACTACTCCCCATTTGCCTATCTTTGCTTAAAAATGGGTTTCTTGAAGGTAGGATCACTTTGTAAATGAGGTACAGGTCAGAGTACAGAGTTTAGCTGGAAGTTAACATCTTAATCACATTAATGATATCTTGTGTCTTCCAGCTAACCACAATTATTTCACAACTGTACAGCTTGGTGCATACCTAGGCGTCTATCTGAGCACTGACAAAAAATAGGAGCAGCTGGGTTTTGTCTGCTGAGGAGCAACCTGTGTGGTGGGAGGAAGGAAAACTTTCTAAAGAGGTGAGAAACAACAGGATAGCTACCCAGTGTCCACACTGCTTCTTCCCCCTTTAATATGGAGGAGGAGACTATACAGTTTTCTACCAATCCACCAGCCCTACTCTACTCCCAAATCCCCGCTACAGAACAGTATCCAAAAAGCCACCGGGCAGCTGGGCCCTGCAGATGTCAAGGACTACATGTGCCTTTGCATGTGCTTGCCAAGGCTTTGCTCCTCTTCCCACAAAGCAGACCCATACCAGTTCTGGTGCCAACAGACCTCCCAGAAGGTCAAATCTAGATATCTTTTCAGCACACAGTGGTGTATATTTTGACTATCTGACCTTAGCTGGAGTTTCATATGTTTTATGAGTTCAGAGAGAATACCCAGTGGAGGTCAGAATGCAGGATTTGGCTTTTAAAAATTAGCCTTCAACAGAATAGAATTCCTTACATTTTTAATTTCTTAATTTCACAGCTTTTTTCAGAATTTAACCAAGCTCACATTCCTTGAGGACTAAATGCCTGCCAAGACAAAAGTTTTAAATCCAAAACATTTTTGAACTATCCAAGAGAAAGGACAGCATCTGCATGCATTTGTGTGAGTTCTTTCTCTCTTTTTTTAAAGACTGAAGAACATCTTCCATATTGAGTTAACTTCAGAATAAGCTGATTTGATTTCCTTTAAGTTACTGAAACCATCCTTCCTCCTGCCCTTTTCCACATACCTGAAAACAGATATGACCTAATTGTGAAATTTCTCCAATAGTCACTTACATTTGTGCGAGTACAAAATATGGGCAAAAAGTCATTTTGCAAAGATATCACAGTAGTGTAAATGACTGCAAGAGAAAACATACAAGAAAATAAAACCTATAATTTTTTCAGAAGAAGAGCAGCAGAAAAAGCTCCGCTCCATAGCATTTTTAGCAGTGCAATAGCAAAAGTAGGCTACGAACGAGTATAGTAATAGCAGACTGGTAAAGATATGCTGGCACAGACCGAACCTATAGCTATTCACATTGCACTGCATTCAGAAGAGGTACTCTTGATTTACTCCAATAGATAGCAGAGAAAAAGTATATTATGACACATGCAGGCGGTCCTAGTGCAGGCCTTGCACCATGAATCAACTACACGGAATAGCTTATTCAGTGACCTTGACACATACCCCATCTGTCTCTCACAAATGCCATACAACCCATCAAACATGTCTTTGCTTCACACAGACCTGCTGTTATTGCCATTTTAATTACTGTATTTTATTAACCTCAGAACCACTGAACAGCTTTGCAAATTTTAAACTTCCTTTCTATCAGCTGCCCCACATGTATTTTCACAGTTTCTTTGCATTGCCTGTTTTAAAGCAAAAGACCACTTATCTTTTGCTTATTCTTTGCACTAGGGAAAAGAATAGATACTTTCATTAGATATATGCCACAGTACTACTCAGATTTTTCTTCCAATTTCCCTCTTCTGGCTAATGGCCAGAGTTGTTCAGAACAAATGTGCCATTCTGGATGTAGATCGTGCTGTGATGATTCATGAATACTAGGAATGAATCTTGCAAAAAAACCCACTTGTCTATCCTCCATGATCAAGTTTTTTGGTTTTATATTTTAAGCTCATTAGTTTGCCAGTTATCACCCATCAATCAAAAACAGGCAAATTGCTTTCAGCCCAGTCAATTCTATTTCTGAACATGTCTATGCTTAAAATAGGGAAGCTGAAACCATCTGGGGAACTTAATCCTGCCAGAGAGAGATACACAACACCTTGCATGACACTAGACTAGACTAGATTTTCTCCTCTAGGCAGGGTCCAAATTAATGGTACAGATCCTATGTCTCGATGTGGATACCTTGCAGTATGTCACAGTATGTAGCATGCAATCCTGCAGGGAAGGATCACAGCCAACTAGGGAGATCATGTTAATGCACAGAGCCATCACACTCTCTGATCTCTGCAGTATAGAAATAAGAATTCTTTATGCCAAGCAATCAACAGGGCCACCGGGAAAAGGCAGAAATCATCCAGAGGGGCAAGTCAGTGGATACAAAACAAATGGAAGCAGTAAGACATATTTCTACAGTCTTCTGCTTTATCAGGCATACGTGACAGTGGATTTTGCAGAGGAAAGAGGTAGCTGGGGGGGTTGGCTTGACATGCAATTATTATCAGGTGTCTATGAAAGAAAAACAAGCTATTGGGAATCAAGTTTCGTCCTTCAAACTTAGTCATTTGCTTCCAGTAACATTTTTGAGAGGTTAACAACTTTGACTATATTAAAATATTCACTGTGCTTAATGTAAACAACCCAGACCCTGTTATTTGTTTCTTCAGGCTCCAGTTCGTAGAGGGATTTAGTTGACATCCCCCCCCTTAAAGGTCTACACTAGATGTGTATTTGTGCTCAGCTAGAATTAGAAGCCTTTCAATAATCCATGCTGGAATGAATAACAACCCCAAGCCTAAGCTGCCTTTAACTGTAATTACCAAAGGTGATAAAAGAGGTTTGTGGAGTGGGACCTCCTCAGTGGTCATGAAAGTCTGCAATGCTTTTCTTAAAAAACAAGGCTTCACATAAGCAAGCAACTAGGAGCCAGAGGTGGGTTATTCTGATGGATTTCAATTTGGATGCAACTGTCCACTACAGGGGCTTGAAAGTTAATGTAATTTTGGACAACCCTCACTCTCCTTTATTTTCACACCCCTTAAGAACTTTTCTTGCAGGACAGATTTTGGTTCCTACACTGTATCCATGAGAAAAAATACACTGGGCCTTTTTCCTCCCGTGGTATGTAACAGAGGCTTTCTCAGCTCTCCCTCCAGTGCCCATAGGCAGGTGGCAATGCTTCACACATGTTAACAGTCTTGCATCTCTCTTTCATCATCTTGCTGCTCTTACCTGTCTTCCAAGAGTTGAACAGTATTATCACCCCCTCTCATCCTGAGGTTTCTCTATTTCTCCTTCTCTGGGGAAGAGAGAGTCTGGTTTATTCAGTCAGTATACCCCTTTTCCTACAAAAGAAACTTAGCTACAGGGCAGGCCTTGGGCACCAAATCATGAAAAAGGAAGACGCATCATAACTGTCTGAACATACGAGCTCACTTTTTCAAACCCTGGTACAGTATGCCCAACTTCCTGTTCAAACCACTCAACTGACAGCAAGAGAAAAAGCTGTGTAAAAATATTACCATTTCCTTTTGTTGATTTACTACTTGTCTGTCACAATGTGTTGTACAGGCCCGTGTGTTTTGACCTGCAGATGAGCCTGCACGTAAAAATCTCTGATTCTTTAGGTTTACCAGATCAGGAGCCTCCTATAGACTTCTGCACCTTGCTGAAGTAAATAAATACTAGAAATGCTACAAGAATAGTTAACTTCAAGATGAGAAAAGTGGGCACAGATAGACAAGCCAACTTGCCCTGGCAAATTTAATTATAGATCTTATGAATATCCTTTCTGTAGGTGTAGCAAAATAATGACCAGGGGGCAACATATCACCTTCAGTCACTACAGGAAGCAAATCAGCTAGGAAAATCAAAACATGAGTCCTAGGTTTCTGGCTGTCAATGTCCCACATATGGGACACAGCATACAATACTGACCTAAAATGACAGTGAGATTACAAAGTAATAACATCGGAGACTTAGAGTGATTAGAGATCATACTGTTTGCATAAATAGTATTTTCCACAATCCTGGCATCAGAGAATCAGTATTCCTGATGTAAATAATTTATCTTAATTAAAATTAATTAAACATTGACACCTGTGTATGTGATGGACATGCGCATGGGACTAGCATAAACAAACACCATGCCAGGCTTTACTCTACGAGACCTTGCTGTGAATCTAGAATAAACTCACTGGGACCAACAGAATTGCTGAAGATTGTTTCAAGGATCACACTATGAAATCAGACCATGTATATTATCAAAGACATGGTGTTAGAAAAACAGTAAGAAAAAACAGCTTTATTCAACACTAAGCTTGAACGAAAATCTGAGTAGTAGTAGATAGTGTTTCAGAATTTGAATGACACGTGATCAGCCTGTTTCTCAAAGGTAAAATCCTTTTAATGCTGATGTTAGTACAAAACAACTATTTGTTTCTGGCTACCTGACGCTTCTTGACGCTGAGTGTTGAATGTTTCCTACAGAAAGTCATTCAACTTCCGCTAATGTTTTTTTTATACTGCAGGTAATCATGCAAGAGACAACTAAGGTAAACGAAAGCTAGCTAGCCTGGCTAATGATATACTAACCTTACTACTACTAGCAGTATAGCCAGACTAGCATAGAGCCCAGAGGAAGATAATTCATCTATTGCCTTGTAAAGATAAACCTTTCCATGCTAAAGGCAAGATTAGGCTCAAGTCACAATTTCATTTTAAATTCTAGAAGTTTGGTTAGGGGAACGGTTCAACTTTGACAATTTCATTGTGAATGCTACAAAAATAGCAATAAGCTGCAAGTCCAACAGAGCTTACCTAATGAGCATTCTTACTCTGGATAGCTTCTATGTATTCTTGGAATTTAAGTTTGGCATCA